TTTTTATTAAGAATATGTGATAATTACGGTAGAGGTAGATGTATACTGGTAGGAAAATTGGGTAGAAAAGATGGTGTGACCAATGGAACGAGGGGAAAACTAGGAGATTAGGCATTTAATTGGATTTCTATACTATATTTGCGATTTGAATTTACTGTGCTGAGTTTGTATATACTCATTTACTATCACTTATAGATGAAGTAGGACCGGCGACTAAACTAGAGTTGCGTGCTTTCAAACCTAGCGTATAGTGGAGACAAAACAGAGAGTATGACTAGTAAAACGGAATAGTTACATAGTTGGTAACAAGTAACTCATTTTTGAAATGAGAACTTGTGAATTCATAAACTACTATAATAATAGATATACAATGGAGAAATTTTAGAAATTGAATAACTTATTTCAAGTATTTTTTATGTGTATGATCGAATTTGTTTATGAAATGATGCATGTTATGTGACGTATACTAACAGGGTTGAGGTAAAGCTGCTGATGCAAAAAAAAAAGAGGGCATTATAAAAAAAATCAAGAAATTGAAACCTAATGGTGGTGGGGTTTCCAGATGCGGTGGCTCCGCCGGTTCTCTTTTGCGACTGGGATTCCTCATTCCATCAACCTACAGAAAACAGAACGATGAATACAATGGTAAAAAAATCTCACAAAACAGGAACCGAGAAGGGGCTCATCGGAGGAGGTTGCAGGTTTTGGACCGTGGCGGCTCCGCCGGGCTTTACCCGCAGTTTTTAGTTCACCTGCCATTCGTTTTGTTTTGATATGGCCACAGAGGTGCTCGAAATTGAATTCTGAGCGAGTAAGATAATTTTTACCTTTTTTTGGCGGTCGGAGGTAGCTCAAGTGCAATGACGATTGTCGGTCGGCTTCTTTTTTCGGCTCGGGGGGGGGGGGGGGGTTGAGCGGGCAAGGAGGGGCTGGCTGCTAAGGTTCGGATTCCGTGTGATGATAAATATTTATACCCATCCCACGTTAATCTGGACCGTTTATCGCGATCAATTTCGTCCATCCGATCTTGCCTAAAGAGAAAATGAATCTAAACCGTTCGATCGCGCCTGAGAGAAAAATGGATCCGGATTGTTTACGTGTACGTGATCGATTCTGGACCGTCTGATCGTAGGGCACGCGGATCGCCAGCGTGGCCTCCCATGTGGCATAGATGTCAACGTGCTTTACCACACGACTTGTTCTGCTTCGTCGAGGTTGCTGACTGGGTAGTTTTACGTAACTGAACTTTTTTTATTTGCACTTTGACTTTCTTGATTCTAATTTTTTTTTCAAAAACACCAACAAAACTCAAATTTTAATCTATTTTTTTAAAAATTATTTTCAATCTCGTTCTTAATTTATTTTTTTTTCTCAATATAACAAAAATTAAATTAAATTAAATTATAAAATATTTTTTATACATTTTTAAATTGCTAAAATTTATTCCAGATTAATTTACGAGTTCGAATATTACATGTGTTACTTATTTTATTTAGAATAATAAAAACCTAAAAAGAAAATACACACTTACAATGTTGCTTTTTAATATTTTATTTATTTTAATTAGCTGACATAGAAATGTGCGAAGATTGTCTACTACTTTTTTCTTATTTTAATTAATATATAATTATATGTAATTACTCAAATTTAGTTCATGAAGCGACATAAAGTCCCGGACAAATCAATGGTTTAGACACCGTTAATATTTTATTTTTTTAATTAAAAAACATTAGATTAAATAATTACCCGTCATCATTATTTTAATTAAAAAAATAATTATAATAATAACTCAATAATAAATGAAATAGAACTCGTGAATTTTAAATAGAAATTAAAAATTTAACCACTATGTTAATATATTAGTAATCATAATATTTTGTTAGTATTAATTCTAATAATAATTAGATATATAGATTCAATAATATTGTTATTTATTTATAGAATAAATGAACTAAATCAATAAATTAACATCTCTGACTATGCACATTTTATATTTCTACATTTCTAATAATAATAATAATAATAATAATAACAAAATATATAGTTTAAATAATATTCAGATTTATTTATTATTTTTTATATAATTTTTTAAATTATTAACTTCAATCAGTTAGTTGGTGGGTCGACCAATAATTAAGTAACTAGCCCATTTTACCAAAAATTCACATTACTGCATATCCAGCCCGCGAATCAACCTTTTGGCTGCGAGGCTCGTCTTATCAGTAAACGAAATCAGAGTAACGTATAATCCGATAAAAGGATAGTACTATATCTAGGTCCAAACAGTAAGGTTATACATAGGAGCTGCCGTTGAAACTTTTAAGCTCTACGCACACGCAGGAAAAAAGAAAATCAGCAGCAGCAGTAGCGAGAGGGAGAGATTAGTTCAAAGAGGAGAGAAAATGGGGGGAGGAATGGAAACGAATAAGAACAGATTCATTGAGGACTGGAGCACTGCGAGAGAGAACCTCGAGCACAACTTCCGATGGACTCGCCGCAATTTTGCTATCGTTGGCTTATTCGGCATCGCCATCCCGATCTTAGTCTACAAGGGCATCGTCAAAGAATTTGTATTCACATTTCCCTTTCTTCTCTATCTACGCAAGATCGAATTAATTTTGCAGTAAATTTGTTTATGGGATCTATAATTGTGCTATTTCCATTTCGTTCTGATTTGTTGAAATCTTAGGGTTTGGAGTTTAACTGCTCGCGTTGATGTTTGGGGTTTCTAATTTTATGATGTTGGGAGGGATGTGTGAGTACGTGTGTTTTATGAGCATGACCAAAATTTTGATTTCCATGTTACCTGTTTATTAATCAACATCTTAGGTTGCATTGCATTGTCGGCTATGTCTGTAGAATTAAGGACTCGTCACTGGTGCGTGAGAGTTTAAAAAATGACATAGCAGACAAGATAAGGGGAAAGATGAGGATTTATGTCTCCATGTTGAAGCGTTTCTTCTAGCTTTGAATATAAGGTCTTTCAAATAAGTTCTTCTGCGACAGGGAAGGTGGTATTGACTATTAACTACCTTCTAGGTAAAGAGTTGACAACTATCTTCTCTTTCCTGATGTTTATGAATATCAAGCAGTAACCATTAATTAGCATGTATAGTTGATTGGATAACAAATTGTCTACTGGAGGAGGAAGTGCATGAACTCCTTGTTATTTGTGTTTTATACTTGCAGACAAACGATTAATCTATTTGCTTTTTTATTCTTTATTTTGCAATAAACTTTTTGTGTCAACCATTTGTGGATTATGTTTCAAATCCGAAGTGTTTTTAGCCGACATTTCCCTTTCTGTAACTGTTTATATCGTATAGTTAGTCTATTTCCCTTTCTGCAACTGTCTTCATGTTATAGCTTTAATCGGTGCAGTGATCAATATTGTTATTTAACTTAACCCCACAAAGTAGTGAAAACATATTTCGTTATAATTATTATAGTGAATGATTGTTAGTTTAAATGGAGGAGTCGGTATTTTATATTTTAGTCTATTTTATATTGCGGGAAGTTCTCTGGAAAAAAAGGACTCTGTATTGGCCCAAGTTCGAAGTTAAGTTGATACTTAATTATTTCTTGGCATGGTCCTAGCAAGCAAACAAACAAGTCAGATCTAGGTTATTGTTTGGGAGGACAATTATATGCCAGTTTGAAGCTTTTAATTCCTCACCCAAGAGTTAAGTTACATGTTTTTCATGTAATTGGTGAGAACTTGGTTTTACATTTGGGATCCTTCTGGTGTTTGTTTATTTGAGTGCACATAATTGAAAAACCTGAGTGGTCTAGCTATTCAAAACCCAAAGACGTGTTATTAGAAACTGAAAATTTGTTCCATTGTCTGGTGGTTTGTTTTGGGGTTATGCCCAAAAATTGATCATAGTTTCAACCATGTTGCTTGAAGATGATATTTTTTAATATTTGGTTCTTCATTAATTTGTTTGAGCAATTTGGCTTCAAGTTTTTGTGTAGTTGAGCTTTTGATCTAGTTACAGGGTTAATAGAATTTCAACTTCACTGTCTGTAACTTGCAGTTATTATAAATGATGAACCTAAAGTTGGAGTTAGAGGTCAGAGAGGAATAAGGGAGACTTTCTGCTTTTCTGTTCAATTTGGTATTTGATGTCCTTAGCTATATGTCCTCAAGGACTGTTTATAAGGTTTTTGAGTGTGGTTTGCTTGTTCGGGAGGATATTATTCTCTTTTTTGCCTTGAATTGCAAATATCTTTCTTAACGTATATTGTTCTCATCGGTTTTTGTGGTTAATTTGAAGCTTATGTATTAATTTGGTAAAACTGCAAAAGCAGCTTTGCTGTTATTGCTGGGTTAACAGGGTTTACCATTTTGCATTTTTTAACCTATTAAAGCTTGCCTCTTGGGGGGTTAATCCCCATGTGAGTTCTTCTTGGAATTGTTTTTTGGTTAAGGTGTCTAAGCATCTATAGTGCTGGCAGGAAAAGGTGCTTTATTTTCTATAAGGTATTGGACCACACTTCTTCGAGTGTCTCCATCTTGTGTTCCCTTTTCTGGTCTGTATCTGTCTAGAACTTTAGAATCATGGTTTCATCTCTCTGGAGACTGGAGAAAGTTATGAGGGGTTCTTTTGGTTGTGGTAGGAGAGTCTTCTAAGGATAGATGGAGGTGTATTATCAGTTGTGAAAGGATGACATTTTTGATGTAGCATAAATTAGGGTTGATTTGCCTACTAAGAAATTCAGGAAAAGTGTCGGTATTACACCTAGGATTCTTAGGTATCACGACTAAGATTTGATTGAGCCACCCAATCAATTATGAGAAATTCTCAAATATATTATTGAATATTTGAATAATTAATAAGTGAAATTATAAAGTTATTTATAATAATCTCTAAATAGCTTTTCTTAAGTAGAATTATATTACGAAATAGTAAACTAGTAGAATTAGGGATACTAATTCTAATGAGAAACTAATACTACTAATATTCAGAATACTAATAAGAATAGAAATCCTAAATTACTAAAACTATAATAATACTTCTAAATAATATAATAGTAGACTCCTAAGTAATATAGTTGTTTTACATTTAATATAATTACAATTTCTAATTTATATAGGAAATCTAGTGCCAGCCTATTCTACATCAATTTTCCTTTTGAACCTTGTTCATGCAGAATATTTGAGCAAGTTTGTGTTCACCCAAAACTGTCAGGATGCTAAAGTTGGGTCAACCACTCCATGAAGAAATAAAAAGAAAAAGGAGGGAGAAAAAAAAGAAAGGGGAACCTGTGAGGAAGGAGAGGAAAAAACAAGGGGAGGGGTGACCAAGAGAGTTGAAGAGACTAAAATTTTCAATTAATTATGATGGTCAGAGAAAGGGGAGTAGGAGAATAGGAGGAAGTACAGTAGAAGAATAAATAATAATCGGAAAAATCATATACTGAAATGTTTGGGGAATTAATGACCGAAAGAAAAGACAAGTTATAAGGGGTTACATGAACAGGTAGCATCCTAATGTATTATGTTTGCAAGGAACAAAAATGGCGGATTTTTCGGATAAGGTGATTAGAAGCTTGTGGTGGGTTAAAGAGATTGGGTGGCAGGTCTTAGTTGCTAGGGGAATCGCGGGAGGAGTTATTGTAGTGTGGAGTGAGGAAAAATTAAGGAGGTGCCTGATTGGGAAGGTTTAAAGTAGTGTAATAAAGACAAAGCTCCAGGGCTAGATGGTTCAACATGGGATTCATTCAAGAATTTTGGCACATCATGAAGGGTGATATAATGGAGGTGTTCAAGGAATTGCATAAGAACGGAACATTTGTTAAATCACTGAATTCTTCTTTTTTGGTTCTCATAGCCAAGATGGAAGGGGCAAAAAACATGAGAGACTTCAGACCTATAAGCTTGGTTGGGTATTTATTTTTATTTTTTTTTGAAATAAAAAGTGTGAAATAATATTAACATGGTACCAAACAATCGGGGGTACCACCCTTATACAAAGCTTTACAGTGTTAGTGAATCAATGACATGCCCAAAATCCACATCACTAATCATGTCATGTTCTAATAATAAAAACCCAAAATAATGCAATCACCTATCTTTCAAACTATACAAATCATTAGCTTTACCCTCAAAAGTTCTAGAATTTCTCTCATTCCAAAGAAACCAAAACAAAGATAAAAGAATTAGATTTTTCAACTTTCTCTCAACATGCATCCCATCCCAAGCCCACAATTCCTCCCTAATAGATCCAGCCATGACCCAGTTAACATCAATCATACTAAAAATAGCATTCCACAATCCAGGGGCCACGGGACACCGCAACAGAACATGCACATAGCTTTCCTCATTAGCCATACACAAATAGCACTGGTTTGGAATGACCAACTCCCTAGTTTTAAGTTTATCAATTGTCAAGATGCATTCTCTACTTGCTTCCCATGCAAAAAAAAGCAACTCTATGGGGAACTTTCGCCTTCCAGATCTGCCTAGAGGGAAAATCAAAACTTATCATGTTGTTTTTGTCAGTTAAGTGCTTGTAATAAGATTTGACTGAAAATACAACGCTCTTATCCAACTTCCACAGCATCCTGTCCTCCCCAGCAGACAACTGTTGAGCAGCTAATAACAGTAACAAATTTTCAAATTCACTGAGTTCCCAATCCTGCAGATTTCTCGAGACATTGATCAGCCATCAGCACAACCATTATTAATCTTGTAAGTATCCTGAATCAGCATATTTTTTGTCTGAGAAATGGAAAAAATTCTGGGAAACCTCATTAAACACGTATTATCCATCCAAATATCTTTCCAAAATCTGATTTTATTGCCCCTGCCAGCCTTCCACAGCAGATTCTCCAGAAAACTGGGCCACCGCATCAAGAGTTTCCTCCATAAACTTGTACCATGGGCTCTTCTAAGCCTTGTGACCCCACTGTTGTCCCAAACGAGGTCACCCCAACGGATCCAAACAATCTGTCTCCATAATCTGTCTTCCTCAAATAAATAACGCCATAACCATTTCCCTTGGAAAGCCACATTTAAATCAACAATAGACATGATTCCTAAACCTTCACACTTGATCGGTTTTTTGATTTCCTCCCATTTAACTAGATGAAATTTATGATTCTCATCATTGTCACCCCAAGGAAATCTGCATTGTATATTTTCCATCTTTTTAACAATATGCACTGGAATCGAAATTGTAGACAAATAATAGATCGGTAAGTTAGCCATGGTGTTTTTTATTAACGTAAGTTTCCCCCCTTTGAAAAGAAATTTCCTCTTCCAACCAGCCAACCTATTCTCACACAATTCCAAAACAGGTTCCCATGGAACACTGCTTTTATACTTAGCTCCCAACGGCAAGCCAAGATATTTAATTGGTAACTTGACTTCTCTACATTCCAAAACAGCTGCAAATACTCTCCTATCCCCTTCATTGCCCAATTTAATCTATTCAGACTTTTGAAGATTAATTTTCAAACCCGACACCCCTTGAAAGCATGGTAAAATACACCTCAAATGAAGGAGGTTCCTCAAATCAGGATGACAAAAGATTAAAGTGTCATCTGCAAATAAGAGATGGGACAC